GTCTGGTCGTTTCGCGTTGCAGATTTATGCACTTATGCAGCTTCGTCCTGTGCACAACCATGCATCTAGTGCAGAGTTAAAGTGAGCAGCACTAACAGCCGGGGGCAGCAGGAAAAACCGTTTCTTGCTTGGATCGGCGAACCCGAGCTTCGCGAAGGAAAAAGCACCTCGGAGCCCTGTTGACTATTCATGACCATTCATCGGTCGTTTTTACGGTGCAATTCGACAATCGGGCGGGAGGCGGGAGAACGGGTTGCTGAAGGACCGCGCGAACAGTGCGCGTTTGTTCGAGCGGCACCGCCAACAGGACACAAAGACGGAAAGTGAGCTGTTATGGCTCAAATGAGGCTCGGCTTTTCTTTACACTCAAAAAACTCCGATCATCTCTCGCGTTGCCGTTTTTGGCACGGTGGCGAACAATGAGAAGCAGAACGTTCCGCGCAGCCGACAAAGGGAGCGTCCACTTTCGGAGACAGCCCTTTCAGAGCAAGACCTTGAGGTAAGGCCTTTGTTATTCAGATCATGCGGCTACATGCAAGACAGGTACTTTGAAGGTAGTAGCCGTCGGTATCGCCAGTGATTTGCCCCTGATTTTCAGAGACAACCGGCTAAACCATCGCAATCAGCTCCGAACCCCAAGTTCCCGAACAACCAATCAGCATTCAGCACCGGCGTCGACTCCGCCTAAGGCAGCAGAGGGCTCGTCATTGGGCAACGTGTCGCTTGATGAGAATTGTCTCCGCCTTTCAGTGCGTTATTCGTCCCGTCCAGTCGCGTCCCTTCCCGTCGATTTGTCTGGTTCTTTAGTGCAGCCAGCAATTGTGTAGGAGAGCAGCAGCCATGGAAGCAAACGCAGTGGCAGCGGCCCCCTCTGATCTCGCCATCTGACGCCGATCCGTTCGGACAGTGACACCTTGGAGTAAAGTTCATGTTGACGGTCCGATCAGTGAACGCGATGACTTGTGACCAGACCGGTGCGGCCGAGTTCTGATCTCCGCGGTCTCCGG